TTTACTTTTTGTTTTTTTAATGAAACACTCAAATTAACGCATGTTTTTTTGCATTACTTTTGCTAATTTTAATATCTCAAATGTAGGTTTTTGTCTCTTATTTAAAAATGTTTTTTTTTTCTAGGAATTAACACGAATAATAATTGAGGTATTCACTTGAGTATGTGGTGTCCTCCCAATGGTGAATCAGCGCAAGCAGATACAAGCTTGGCTCAAATAGTCTGTTGCGAACATTGATTTCCCATTTTGTAGAACAACGTCTCTAATTGTATTGGAGGGTGTAAGGATATCCCCGTCACACACATCTTTCCATACAGAATACAGAGTAGACAGACTTGTTCCAGTGATTTCATGTTGTCACACCTTGTGTGTCAATTACATGGTCGTCATCATTAGCTGAAGGCAACACGAGATTGGGTGGTCGATACTTGGACCGGTACAAGAGCCTCTCATCTTCTGCTCAGAAGCTGCGTCTTACTTTACCTGGTTGCTGTGTGAAGTCAATAACACATTTGTTGGAAGCTGGCTCGGACCACCTCCTCTTGGTTCATCATTGGTATATTAGCATACGTTTGTCCTTTATTGACCCGATAGGACTTCTGCATGATTCACAACGCTTTCCCTTTTTGAAAGAAGAAAAAAATTCTCTCCATCTGCTATGTTGGCATCTCACAACCAACATAACACACATAACAGTAGCCCAACAACTGGCAGCAAATTTGTCCCACTGAGGTTTTGTCCACAATTATGCCTGGAGATGTGATGACCCAGTTTGAAGCGAGCGATAACTGACTTGAAAGAAATTGGGATTTTGTTTTTTTTTTGGGGGGGGGTGGTGTGCATGGCCATAGAAATATTCAAATGATGAAACATTAATAATGCAATATTTTTGCAGTTTATTGGGAGGTCCATGCTAATGACTTAACTGGGTAAATAATTGTACAAAACTGTTGCCCATCAGTTACCCGTGTATATTTCAGCTCTCATTAACAGAAAGGAGCTGTCTCACTCCATACATAAAGCTATTTGTCAGACATACGATAAGATTGTAACCCAAACAATTATTATTATTATTGTTATTATTATTAGTGAAGGGTACAATTGATTAATTCATCAGTTAAAAAAATCAGTTGTGGAAAGTTGATTTTTGATTGTTCACATTTCAAAGCAATTGAGGCAAAATCAAGTGCCACACTGTTTCATTCAGCAAAACAGCCGTTCATTCAGTTTTAACTAGTGACTTTCTGAAGAAAAAAAGCCTCGGAGCATTGTTTTGTTTTATTCAACATATTGATGTTCTCAGATATCACATCTTGATTTTAATCTTTGATTTTATCCTTCTCATGGTTGTCTCTATTTGCCATTAATACTGCCCTCCAAAACGCAGCCATTCACTATGTAAACATTACATCCACATACTAACACGAACATTCCTAAGGCAGCAGCAAATCCTACTTTAAGTTTTTCACTTTTTGTGGGGTGTTCAGGTGCAAATTAACTGCAAAGAAATGAGGGGTTACTAGATACCATACATACTATGTTTTTAAAGGATAAGAATTGAACATGCTATGCTTGTCATTAAGAAACAAAACATGTTTGGTCTATATTTTTTTAATGCTGGAATGGATTATCAACATTTTTATTCATTTTAATTGGGAATGATGATTTGATATAAACGTGTTTTTGAGTTATGTGCGTGGTCGAGGAGCAAATTAAGCGCATTTCTCAAGGCACCACAATATATTTTGTAGTGTTAAAGGTGTCTAATAGTTGACTGTTGCAAAACAATTTTGTCCTGTTCTATACAAGGTTGCCATCGGCCAGTGATGGTATCGACGCGATTGCTGAGCTCTCTCTTCCATTTGAATTTTAGAATTTCAGGTCAAGGCCCATGGTTCGCTCAGAAAACATTACTTGAAGTAAGCTTGAAAAATGATTGCTGCTGTTTAGAAGCAGTGGAATGTCTTTGATTATGTGCTCAAACCTGATGGGTCCATTATGGGCGAATGTGGCAGCGTGTTATTCCCTTTAATCTTGAGTGATTCTTTCAGACAGACTGCATAAATGCCTCTCAAACTGGGAGGGAAAACATTTTTTTTTTTTTTATATGCTGTAAGAGGTATCTCACCTAACAATTTCAAACGGAGCTGTTATTTCTTTAGTGATAAGCATGGCTAAATCAATGTTTAGAGCAAAAAGAATTTCTCCGAGGCTCCGTAATTATCATTGCTGGATGAAAAAACAAAACAAAACAAAGTTTTCACTGAAGACAGCTGCCTTTTCAGTTTTCTGAAATGTCAAGATTGCCGCCGGTCTGTGATGGATTTGGGTCTCAGGTGATTACATTTGCAGTGGCTCCATGTTGTAAACAGGAGACGAGGGATTACTTTGTGTCTGTCTGTGGCAGGCAGGAAACCTGTCAGCATGCGTGTGGCTTTCAAGGACCTGCTCCACCCTAGAATCTCCTTCTGAGGCTCGGAACAATTTTAATCACCTCTGATAATGGCTTTTAGCAAGCAGAGGGTGGGGACATACAAACCAATCAAGTGAAGAACACGTCCTCGCTTCGCTCACTTTTTACTTTGCATAGGAACTCCCACGGGTCATGTTCAAAGACCTTGGTGAGGTGGAAAATAAAGTGACACCACCCCCTTTTGTGCTATACTGTATATCAATTGCTTGAACATGAATAGCGTATGACTGAATTTGCCTGAAGTCATTGCCCGGTGTTAATTTACATGCAGGTGGAATGTCTTGGCATCTGATTGACTGAAAGTTTGTGCATGTAAAAATGGGCGCAAACTCGATTGAGCAAGAAAACTTGGATAGGGAGCTGTGGAAAGTGGCATGCTAACGGGCAACAACCAGGTTTGCATCTGCAAAACAGGCAGAATTGCTTTGCAGTTCATTTTGCATATGCTGGAGAAGTATACGCAAATCAACAATTGAAGCACGCGCAAGGTGATTGATCAAACCTGAGATAAATTGACACGACTCATTTTGAGTCCCTCAGTTACGAGTCTGAAAGGCAAATACGAGCCACACAAGTGGTGCCCACATAGCGTGGACACAATGTGGCAAGGAGAACTTTTCCACTCATGTTAACATTTTTGAAATTCCAACACAAATTAGCTTGACATGTCGTCTTTTCCGAAATACAATTTTGGAGCTACCGAATGAGCTGACTTGGAGCCCGTCACAAGAATGATTTATGTCGTGTCAGCTCTAACAATACTCCTTGCAACTCTACATCTGGTTTCAGACCACCATCAGGACTTTTGGGGCTGACTCAGGTTTGAAAAACGTTACGTAGGATGGTTTGTTCATCAAATCAGCACAAACTCGGGCGAGTTAAATCCAAAAAAGCATGGCTTTTATAAAATACTGACTTTGCCCAAAATTATCCAAGTGATCAATTTCATATTTGTTTGCCTCACTGCCAATTCCATCACTTTAAAATTTGTTTTGCACTTGCAGTGCAATTTTAAATCGGATTTCAACTTAGACTCGCGTGATTATAGGGGTGGGCACCTCCGGTCCTGAAGAGCCGCTCCCTTGCAAGTTTTAGATATTTCCTCTCCTTCAACACACCCGATTCAAATGATCAAGATTGTGATCAGGCTTCTGCAGAGCTTGCCGATAAGCTGATCATTTGAATCAGGTGTGTTGGAGGAGAGAAAGCTCTAAAACATGCAGGATAGCGGCTCTCGAAGACCGCAGTTGCGCACCCCCTGCGTTATTCTGACGTCATGCCACTTGTCAAAGCTGCAATAACCTCTTTTCGCTGAGACATAATCATTCTTTTATTTTCGTGGGAAAAACAACAAGAATGAGATGGAAGATTTTGGAAACATGAATATTTCATATGGAAGAATAAAAATTAAACCCCTGAGGGTCCTGCTGTTTGACATCTCTGCTTGAATAATTTGTGCCTTATTGTTTTCATTGTTGTTTTTTTTTCTGGCTTGGGATTTTCTCACAAGCATTCTCGAATATTCGGTACCTCAATCAAGGATATTTTTCAATTAGCAGGAACTAGCCCAAAAGCCTAAAGGCATGACATTTTATGCTGAGGATGACCATGGGCTGTGATGGAATTCAATTTTATGCCGATGCAGAACCTTTTTTTTTTCTTTTTTACTTTTTAAGAAGCATTGCATAGACCTTGGCGGATATTTATGTATCTGGAGTGTCCTCTGGCTCACTATTGTTCACTTGAGGCAGAAGAGAATGGTTACAAGTCGGGCTAAGGCCAAACAAAAAAAAATTTCAGCAGAGGGTCGGTAGGTCGGACAAAGTTTCCCGCTCCGGACTCGGGGGGCCGGGGCATGCCGCCGCCTCCGCCGCCATCCTCCTCCGCCCTCGGTTTTTACTCGGCCCGTGGTGTTCATCAAATAGTTCGCTGAATTTTTTTGATACATCAATGGATGCTATTTTCTTAACATTACGGTGCGAGAATGAGACTCTAACACAGAAAACGCGGTTTAAACTGTCGTCGGAGATCGCGGCCGCCGCCATGTTTCAATGTTATTGACAGACGACAGGGCAAAGGACACACAAGCTCAACGTGAATATCGCGAGAGTTTGCACCGATGTAAACCCTTGACACAAAAATGTAGAGGGTTGTTTGAAAAAAAAAATGCCGACCGTAAATTTTTTTTTCGACGAAGAAATTCTCGGTCGGTCGGGTTACCGGAAACACACGACTTTTTTTTTCTACGCCTAAGCACAAATTGGTGGTGATTCGCTTGGGCGTGGAAAAGTAAGCGTCAAATCATGATTGCTCGACTCGGATCAGAACAAATCTTACAGTCTTGGTGTTTGTGCTGTCAAGTCAATGGGGCGCTCAATATGTGTGACCATAGGCGGTTTTATAAGGTGGCAAGGGGTGGCAGCTGCCCCCTTTTACCAAATGTCTTGCCACCCCAGTTGCTACCCCTATCATTGGCAATGACTCTAGCAATACTAAATTGAACATTTTATTGTAAATGTTCCAGTACACAACTATCATGATGACAGTTGGGGCGAACCACAATTTTTGCGATCATACAACGGCTTGGGAAGTTATTAGGTTACGGGCCGTGTGTACTTAGACTTGCTTGGCTTACTCTTTGAGACAAGCAGTGCGGCGCTTGCCGCAATGCCCCCCTGAAGGCTCGCGAGTCATGCCGCCTCTATTGCAGTGAGGGAGGGATGCAGATGAGGCGGTGGGCTGATAGGCTAACATTTCCCCCGATTGAAATTTGCATGATTGACTTGCAAAAAGTAAACCAGGATCTGAATGCGTAACCTTGCATAGTTGAAAGAATCAAAGAACTAACCTAACTCATTACCCTTGTGCTCACCTTGTCGTCTTATTGCTCCGTTAAATTCGAGTGGGTAATCTTTGACAAAAGGCTCTTGCTTTTTATGCAGATGACATGCAGAGTATTTTTGAACCGTGCCGACTGTGGTGGATAACAAATTGTTTGTTTTGGGGCTTTGACAGTGTGAATATGTAAATATTTCAGAGAGGCGAAGGAAGGATGGGATTGAAGAAAGACAGGCAGAGATAATGCTGCTCATTTGCAGTCAAGCCTTGATGTGACGATGCGCGCTGCTTACGTCAAAAGTTTTCATCCGGTTTAGCCTAATCTAAACACTTGTCATCTTCACTTATAATGTCGTACAACACCCAAATAGCCAAAGACTACGGAAACCAACTTCCTTTTTATATTTAATTTGATCTATAAAACAAAGACCATGACTTCAGTCACACTATTTAAAATTCTGCCTGAAATATTTGGCATCTTAGGAGCTTTTCCAAAGTGTACTGGAATTCAAATTCAGTCTTGACAGATTGAAATTGACGTGGGAAGCCATGCGGCATCGGATGAAAATGTGATCAGTTTAGCAAACTGCCAGGATGAAGTGTGAGCTGCCTCTAGAAATCTAAACCAACTTGTCAATGAGCAATAGTGATGATGGACTGGATGCACTGTCAGCAACTTCCAGTTTGCACCAACAAATATCGTAACGAATGCCATGTCTCGTGTCGCCACCTTAATATACTCTACATACAAGTGAATGCGGAAGAACCGCTCGTTTTTTAAAAACATTTTTGTCATTTATATTTTTATTTATGTGGTTGCACAATAGAAACTAGAATAGTACTTGGTCGATTGAGCAAAAGTGAAGCCAGAGGCTAGTTTCTGGCTCATGAAGCATAACATTATGCAATAGACAGGACTCCAACATTTGCGTTTTTTGGGCAAGAGAATAGCGGGAGCAGTTCAAAATAAAGTAACAGTCACTAAATGAAGTCATCGCCACATTTGTACAGTCTCTGAATAGGAAACAGAATTTAGGGTATTTCACCATACTGCATGACGTTTGATGGAAATCAGATTTGCCTAATTCTGTTAACCAACCAATGCTCAGTGATTGAACCAAATACTGCTTGTCCTTGCTCTTTTGAGCTAGTAGGATGTCAAAAACAAACAATAAAAAAAAAAAATCACATTCGCAAACATCACATGAAGTCGCCATATGCAGTCTGAATTTCCCTTAGAGTGAAGCAAGGCTTATTCTTAGATGACCATAACCGCAATGTCCAGAAACAAGATGTCATGAGAACTGTTCATGCTTCATCTAAAAGGCCAGTCATCTGGGGTTGCTCTGGCATCTGGTTGGTTTCCTTCCCACGGGCTCTGTGGGCCCAGATAAGCAGCAGAAAAATGGATGGTTTGCAATACACCGAGCCAGCGCCGCGCCCCTGCTTGTTCAAGAATTCTACGCATTGAAACTGTTCTTGGGTAGCTTTGATCAATCAAATCCTAAGGTTATGCTCCATGTTGCTCTGGCATCCACTTCTCCCCTGTCGTGTTCATGGTCTCAAATCAGACTAATTTTGGAGGTGACCCGCTGCTCCTGAGATTAAGTTATGTATCATTCTCTTAATCTTTGCTGACAAGTATATGTGGGAGCCACGGCACACTTCTGCACCATGTCATCGACTAACAGATGGCATAAATCATTCTTTTAAACGCTGCATTAAGTATTAATCATTCTCTGTGCTGTCACTGTCACGCAGCTCGGTGAGCCATGGTGGGGTGCAAAGTGTGATTAATGGAGGGGAAGATATCAGGACCCACTTTGTTAGACCACGCCCCCTTTACCTAGCTTTGGTTATTGGCTTTGACTGGAAGACTTGCTCCTCTACGACAATGTTGTTGGACAAGAGGCCCATATATGATTCACCTCCTTGTTACAGAAAAACTCTGCTGTCTCATTTGGTAAGGATAAAGCCGTAAATTGGATGTTCTATTATTATTTGTAGAGTGTGACATTGCATTTCATTGGAGTTTTTAGGGAGGCAGGTGTCTGTTGCTTGTTATTTTGATTTAAAACCAAATGCGGAGGGAGAAAGCATCACAGTCAACCTCAGCTTACTGTCTTTCCATGTAAGCGGTTATCAATTTTATGTACGTATGGAGCCCATCCCAGCTGACTTTGACCGAAAGGTGAACTTCGCCCTGAACTAGTCGGCAGTCAGTTGCAGGACACTTAAAAAGACAAGAAACCATTTCCACTCACATTCACACTGTCACTGAGTGGGAACTAAACCCACGCAAACCTGCACACAAGTCAGGCGAGTGTACGCTACACCATAAGCGACTCATTTAAAACATTACACAAAGATGAAAACACACATCTCTAACATTTCAGTAAGTTAAAATATCTTACTTTAAGGCCGCCGCACACTGAGCGATGTGGCAGAACTCCCCTCTACACTTGCTCATCGTGTGGGGTTCTGCCACAGGATTACAAGAGTGGCTGAGTCTTGGCCATTGGTTTTACGGCGATTCAGAATATCAATCGGAGTTGCACGAAGTTGATAATGTCACAATATAGTCATCAAAATGCATGGAAGATTTCACGCAGGCGAAAAATCTATTTCTGGTTTATGAGTGAGTGAGACAGAGCCGCTCACCACGTGCCACCAAGTGATTGAAATACATTTTTTGTGTTTTACCACAATAGCTTACAATATTTCTTAATTTCATATGTATGTTTGGATGGAATAAAAAAAGGCTGTGCTATATACATACGTGAGTGGTGTACATACCGCGCCGGTTACATTCAAATGAATTGGAGCAAGCCATCTCTTAATGGATTAAAAAAAAGTGATATGACACAACAATATTGTATGAGGATCTTCAGAACACAATACAACCTTTTAGAGTTGAAATCGCAACGAGTCCTTATGCTAAATCGCCAAATGGGCATGAATGAGTGGCCAACTGTCATTTTTCACGTTGATCGGATTCGGAAGGATCGCACAGTGTGCGGTGGCCCCAAGTCTTTATTTATATACAGTGAAACTCCTCTACAACGAAACCTACATGGGCGAAAATACCCCCTACTGTGAAAAAAATCTTCATGCATTAACACCAAGAACGTTGCATTGCTAAAATGGCTACAAAACGGACCTTTGGGTGTCAAGCAGCTTAGACAAGAGCTCTGACGCTGGAAGAGAGGGTAAAAGTGATCAAAATGAAAGACGGAGGAAGCAAAATAAAAGACATTATCCAAGAAATTGATGTAAGTGAAAGTGAATGCTGATCGTAAATTTCGCAATTTCTTTCCCTTTTTTTCTTTCTACACTGACGATATGAAGTGTCAAATAAGTGTATGCTCATACTTATGCACTATTGGAATAAAAATAAAGAGTACACATGCGTTTGTGTGTGCGTGTGTGTGTGTTTACATCTGAGATCAAATTTGCTACAGTGAAAAACCCCCTGTTGTGAAAAAGCTGCAAACATGATTTCGTTGTAGAGGAGTTTCACTGTAGTTGACATACCGCCTTTTTGACAAAACAATGCTGGACACTTATTGTCCATCTGACTTCCCAGTTGCAGGAAGACTCCTCCTGATTGTTTTACATCAAATTTGCAGTGTAAAAATAACCTTTGGTGTTTGCTCCAGGGTTAATGCTCCGCACAGTCTTTTGCCACCCTTTCCCCTCGGTGCCCGCGCTTCATGCCGGCACTCTTAATGTGACGTTGATACAAAGTGATAGACCACTGGCGCTCTGCCGACATCCCTGTTGAGCGTCCTCTGCGTCTACGCTCCAATTTACTGCCTTTGCATTCCATTTGCTTAGCTTCAGGCTTGCGAGCCCTCACCCCCAATGACAGCCCTCCGCCTCCGCGCTCGCCCTCCGCTGTCCCTCTGCTTCTGCGGCGCTGCTGCAGTTGCCGCTGGGATACGGGACCAAGGGCTGCAGCTGATCTGGTTTGGCGATTTGTGTGAAGCGAGATACAGTGCATAATTATGTTGTCAGAGGACATCATGATGGAAATGTCTCAGTTGCAGACATCACTTTGAAATGCGGCGTCCTTCAAAGTTGCCGCTCTTCCCCCGCTTTTAAGTCATCCAATTTGTGCCTGTTTGTCTCCGAAAAGCTCCCGTTGGTGAGATTTCTGTTTTGCGAGGAATATAATCATAATGAGATGCTATTTTTAATACTTCCGAAATTCAAGGTTTTATGCTGAAGCCCCAAATATGCATGTTTAAGCAAATTAATGTGATGTTAAGGCAAACTTTTTATGTCACACACTCAGACTTGAGTAATTAACCTTGAGAGATAACCCAGTTTGTGAACTTTTTGAATTCGTGTCACTCTTGCTTTTAATATGAATGATGTGAAGATCCCCATTCACATTTTCCAAAACTCTCTATGTTGTGTTCTTAACATATTTTGCATGACTATTTGTTTTTTTTTCTTTTTTTCCTTAAAAGGGAACAATTCTGTGCTCTGTGATTAGTCTGCCAGAACCAGTTGCAATTTCCATATTTTTTGTGTCTGGCCAGTAGCCTTAAAATAAGTGTTTTCTTTTCCCAAGGTGATGACAAATACTCCCAAGATTTCACATATAATTGGGTATTGAAGGAAGGACACCACCAAGACATAAACTGTTAAGGAGAAACACAATGGATGAGTGCTGCATTTGTTTCTGGTAGCCTCGATTAACACGTGCATTCAGAGTGTAATTGAAATGTCAGTACATCCCAGCTCAAACACAATGCAATGTCATTAATAGAATTGTTAAATATATTCCATCCTGTATGCCAGCCAGATACAAGCAGTAAACATGAAATGTACCAGTAGGGAACTTCTCACATATGTTGTCATGGAAGGTTTCAGCAAAAGATATGTCATAAAATAAGTGTTATTAAAAACTAGAGAGAAATGCCAGTTCTCTGGTATTTCCACTTTTAATCTTCCCAGTATGTGGCATAAAAGTACTTGGTCCTTGATTAAGACCCTCTACTTGTTTTATTTTAGCTGTGCTGAGAGGTTGTCAAAGTCATCGCACGAGAAAGCAAATGGCTCCTCAGTGTCAGCATGTTATGGTTGAAATGTGGTTTAAAAGTCATCTCGAAATTTATGGTTGATTTGTGCATACGTGATTCGAATCACAAATTGTAGAAAATATGGTGAGAGAGTGATCCTTTCGCTCAACAGTTTGCAGAGCTTCTCGTTTATTTTCTTTTATGCTCTGGAAATGTTATGTGATGACCCACAAGGGACATTCACCAGAAACCTATAAAAAAAGACATGAAAAGGTTGAAGGAGAGTAGCTTGCTGCTTGCTGTGTCAACAGGCAGGTTTGTGTGTCGAGAAAATGAGACATGGCTTGCCTTTGTCTCCTTGTCATTTACCGCATCTCCACAGTATCCTTATTAACATTAAAGGTAAAAAAAGAGTGCATTAAAAATCAAATTACCATAATTTCCGGACTATAAGCCGCTACTTTTGTCACACGCTTTCAACCCTGCGGCTTGTTTTACGATGCGGACTGTTTAAAGATTTTTCCAACGGCCACCAGGGAGCGCTCGAGCAGAAAAGGTAACAATGAGACGCGATCATATGTCACAGTGAAAACAACCGGCCAGGGGAGGGCGCACCTGTGTTTTGAGCTGGACTGCAATCCGAAAGCTGTGTGGCTGGGTCTATGACAGACTTGACCAAACACAAAATAATTTTTACGAAGGCTTTATTCCTGACTGAACATAGAAAATGTACAGTATTAATATAATAAAAGACTGAGATATGTCAAATGGGACGAACAAATAGAAAAGTATACAAAAATAGACAACAGTAGTGGCTTGTGAGCACTTTCCGGCATGTTATATGTGCCCGATACATGTGGAAAACAACTAATCTCCCCTGCTTCACGGCTGTTCACACAACCCATCATGCGACACCGTTCAAACTCCCAAACGACGATATTTTACTCGTAATATCAGCTGTGTTACAATTCCTACAGAGTGTATGGCTTGTTTATAACAGCCCTCCAATATGGCCGCCGGTAGTGCATTGTGGTTAATTGCTAAAAAGACGGAGCCCTCTATTGCAGATACATCAGGTCTGAATAAGCACTGCTCAGCATTCGTCTCATTTCACTTCCTGGTCCAAGTCTCACGAGATTTCCCACGAGATTATCCAGCGCTCCTTTCAAAGTGACAGTGCTCCATTTGTTAAACGAGGCAGCATTCACTCCAACAGTCATAGTATTATTCCCCTGGTTACATATGCCAAAAGAAAGCCTCCCAAAAGACATTGTCGTGAAAATTGACATGAAAGCGCGGATGGTAGAAAGCCCAATGAAGGAATGGTTGACCAACTATTATGGCAAGCGAGGATTTTTTCATTTTAAAACAAAGCATTACTTGATAGGGGCCGGTGCCTTTTTTTTTAACCCCCATGTGAGTGTTGTTTTACTGCCGCAGTGAAAGAAAAGTTAAGGTTTGTTATTAAATGTTGAAACCTCTTTCTGTGGACCATCTTCTTTGCAGATATCTCAGGTTACAATATGGGCACCTGCGGCTTATAGACAGGTGTGAAATGTGCGTGTACAAAATTAAATGTAGTGGGTGCAGCTTCTAATCAGGTGCGCTCTATAGTCCAGAAATTATGGTAAGACAAATAATTTAATAGTCTCTTTTAGTCTGATATTCTTTTCCTGTTCAATATTCTTCCAATGCGTAGGTTATATCTCATTGAGAGGCGAATGCTTGTCTGAGTAGCAAAACTTGGATTCGTCAACTTTTGTGACGAATGTTGGCGAAATTCAGGGGGGCACCTCTGTCAATCGCGATATTTTGCAACTTTCACTGTCCAAGATGGACTTCAATAATATGGAAATTAATTCTTATGTGTAACTCATCAAGTCAACACACACACAAACTTTCAGGTTGGTACAAGCCTGCCAGCTTTGTCTTCAAAATTTCTCTTGCACAAACTGCTTGACCTCTCTCTTGCTTTTCATGTCCTTTCACTCATGCAGACCTATGGTACTCCTCATTGCCATTTGTTGGCCCTTGTTTCCCCTGGCATGATGAGCAATGTGCTGAGTCGGTGCAGATATCTCACTGAGTGGCGAATGATTATGAATGATACACACAACAACCAAGTAAAACCGTTTACAAACATTTTTGCAACCTTTGATGAACCGTGACGAAATCCAAAATTTGCTACGTTGACAAAAAATTAACCCCCCAAAAAAATGCATTTTACCTGGGGTCACAATTGCCCCAGGGGGCCTGCTCCACTATTTGAGAAGGACTGGGTGAAAGAGAAATGTACTGGAATTGACTGGGCTTTTTCATACCTATTGTGAAACAGAATTGGCCTTTGAAAGGTGCTAAAGCCTTTCACAATCACGATCAAAAGTCTTTTCAGCAGCATTTCTGGCCTCTGGAAAATGATCCCTCTTTTAAACTGTCACATGGCATAGAGACCTCTGATTGTACTTACAAAATGTGCACGGTTGACTTTTCCCACCCAAAGATATTCTCTGAATAGCAAAAAAATGTCAAACGTTTTCCTCTTGACATAAGTTGAAAGGTTGCACGCTATTAATATTTGTGCAAGTATCTGAGTAATGAAGATACTGTGAACTTTACAAAATAAATGCCTGACCGTTAAAATTCACTGATTCCATAAGTTGCTCCCATACATTTATTTGCTTCTCTTGTACTCTGGGTTTAGGCTATCTCATATTTTGAATTCAAGTTAAGACCGAAAAAACAAGATGTAATAAGACAATATTTCATCGACATGAGGTGCTTCATCTTTGCATGGTATGCTCCAACTTGAGTTGAGATAAAGCCAGTTCAGCCCGATAAAGAAGTCACGGCTCAGCGCGTAAGTGGAATTGTTGCATGCCTGTCGCGCTCCCAATCACTTCAGCGCTCGCTTCTCAGCAAGGCTGTGCTAACAGCCATTTGTGGCTTTGGAACCTCAAAACCTCTGCACAACTCCCACTACGGTGTCTGGATAATGGTGGTGAGGGTGGTCAGCTAGACAGCTTTTTTTTTTTTTTTTTTTTTTTTTAACGTGGTCAGTTCTCATATAAACGAGTCATTAGCCATGGGGCGATATTTGTCTTGTCCTGCTGGGTGAGTAATATTTAAGGCCAAGATGTTAAATTCTGCACATTAACAGGTGTTCTATAAAATGGGCATGTGTTAAAAAAAAATAATTACAAGACTACTCGTAATCTCTACCAATAAAAAAGAAACCTCTATTTCTCCTTGTTTACCCTCTTGACCTCTGTTAAAACTTTGCTACATCCAGCACCATTTTTTTTTTATATATATAAGGGAGAAAGGTTGATACTCAATCAATAGCAATACGTTTTCCTGTTATCCAGGAGTCTTGCCTTGTAATCCATTCAAAGAGAAAATGATTGAAGTGAGCTCAGATCAGGTTGAATGAATGGCCCTCAAACCTTCACCCTGCAGTTGGAGGCAGTAGTCATCATCTTCTCGAGCCGATGCTTTCAAGAGCCCAACGAAACCGTTCCTTGCATTCCTCGGAAGTTTTCACGTCGCATTTGCTTCATTCAGAGTTCTCTCCAATGTGCTGGCCTGCAGTTAAACAGTTTTCAATCCTGCATTTCCGTTCCGTTTAACACTAACTCAAAGCAAATAAATAAAATCGCTTTCTCACCAGGCTGCTGTGCTGCTTGTCAATCAGAGGCGGATCCTAACACTGTTATCGGCCACATTCGAGCATTACCAACCAAACGCTCCAGCATACCGCACTGCCGGCTCGTCACAACAGCAGATGCCTACCACCTGGTTTCTTATCAAATGTGTTGCTTTGTATTGTTCTTTATACATCTGCACGCTGATGTACTTATTCTGGAGTGGGGCATTTCTTAGGTAATGACCGTTTAATTGTGAGCCTGAGCAAAAGAGGAGAGTTGAGGGGTGAAAAGGTCGCGGCTGCTTTGTTTTTACATGATCACAATGGAACTTTTGTGCAAGGCCATTCTTCGTGTCTGCCCTCCCCCCCACAAAAGCTTGTGCTGTTCAACTCTTCATAGAATTCCATGAAATTTTGTTACATCACCTTTTTGAATATAATTGAATAGGTCTGAGTCTAAGTAAGTTCTGCTGTATAACAACCAATGATGTACAATTTGCTGTGAAGTGGCTATTTATACTTTTCACGGACATATGATATGTATGGGTCCAAACAAAGGGGATAAAATGGAAATGTAGCTTAGTCTGTTTCAATTGAAGCCTGTCTAATCACCTCAAACAAGGCCTATTGTTCTCCCCTCCATCTCAGTGGGTCAAACATGGCCCTCTAATCCATTCCAATCCTCCCCTTTTGTCTTCTCACATACATCACATAGATGAGAGATGGGCTTTTGACTCAAATTTGTTCATCAACGTGAACATGGATGATAAATTGTCGAGGGGATGCTGAACATTTATTTTACTTTAACTGGATGAAAGAATCTCTGAATGTGCTGAACAATTCCAGTCTCACTTCGATGCTTGCCATCGGCGACTGTGTAGATGGAGCTAATCTTCTCACAGATGGCATCATGCTATTCCGACTGCAAACCAGTTGAGGTCGGATCAACTGTGCCCCTGCTGGTTGTAGCCCAGTAAAGTACTCCATTTTGTCTCAGTGGCATCAACAGACAATAAAGGGGAAAGCAAACCCTTTTTGTTTTCCTTTTTTTTTTTTTCTCACAATAGTATGTTCTATGCGCCCCGTCGAGATTCATCACAGCATTCAGATTAAAATTGGTTTTCAGGAATATGAATGAAGGAGAAAAATCCTCTCCATTTTTATTCAGGTCAGGGGGCGGCCATTTTGCCATTTGCTGTCGACCGAAAATGACATCACAAGTGCCTAAGGGCTCAGTCCAACGACCGTCATGGCTCATCTGCTTTCTCTGCGTTCGGTCATGTGACATCAACAAGCGAGTGGATGTTGCTGCTAATCCATATTCCACAAACTCAGTATTAATCAGAATATAATGTTTACATTAGCGGGGACAGAAAGAACATTATTTGACTTGACTTGCGCTTTTACAACGAATGAATCGATGCATAAAATTCATTGTAGTTAGATATGTGGCCTAACTTACGCATACTTGCAACCAAATGGGGAACATACTACTTGAACTATTCATCCGTCTGTCCTCCTGTTCATCTCAGAAGTGTTAGATGGGGTTGAAATCATTCTGTTCATCCAGAACATAAATCAGTAACAGTACCTCACAAGTGGTGACGTTAAAGCGAAATTGATTAGACCAAAGGGGTTTTCCTCCTTCTTGTTACTCCCTAAAGAATGGATGAAATAGGCGTTATGAAGAGGGGAGGTTATTTACCATGTCAGCTGGACATACCATGCTTATTTGTGGTGATCTTTCCTCGGACCGAGTGTGAAAGCAATCCTCATGTGTGTTTGCGGGATGTCTATTCCTATTTCTTGGCTTGTCCATCTTTGTCTGAGTGACAGCTTGTCTCCTGCTTTGGAGTGTGTGACACACATCAACATTTAATTCTTTGAGACAGCAGGACAGGTCCCCACGCTGCCACATGCATAAACGAACGAGCGCAAGGGGCGGCCACTTGGCAGCCACCGGGGTAAGACTGATGCAACACACCGCGCGACAGGACAGGTGGCAGCTGCACCAGGAAGCTGGCCGCACGAGGCCGAGGACCATGTGGCAATAAAGGGTTGCCCGGATGCCATGAGATAATCAGGTGGGCATTGACAGATGCCTGCTGCGTGCTGGGAAAACAGACAAAGAAGAGCTGTAATGTGGGCCCTCCAAATGTCAAACGCCGCTGAAGTTGTAGCATTAGAAATTGATTGTGGAAATGTTAAAGAGCAGATGTCAAACTCAAGGCCCTGTCGCAGATCGAAGACTGTGCCCGCTGACAACATGGAAGCGTCAATAAATAACAGTGTGCTGCGAAGTATCGTCAAAGGCTGTTGGAGCTCAAACTTCTTCAACTTTTGAAACAGATATACACACACACACACACACGCACACACACACACACACACACACACACACACACACACACACACACAGCAGGTTTGGAGAAATGTTGCTCAGTGGGAGACGTGAAAGAACATGGCCTAATGTAAAATGCTCAAAAATGGACAACATGAGCACGATTTTCACATTGTTTTGCACTAGACAAGTAAGTTCAGTAAACCCTCCACAGCTGAGTAATGTTGTCTCGAACTACTTCTCTATTCATGCAACAAGTGCTGCAGAGAAAGTTTTCTGCTTAGAGGGTGATGTGAAATATAGCCGGCGGGCATGCCTAAATCTTGATGTTGTTTTTCCTTGTCGAAAGTATACACATTATAAAGGATGTAGTTTTGTTACCTTCTGAGAGACAAAGTTGCCGGTGGAAGAAAAAGGCACCTTCCATTCATGCTACATTCAGCAACACTTTAGGCAACATTTTTGTGATTTTTTTTCTTTTTTTTTTTGAGGTTTTTATAACATATATTAAGGGTTGCGTTTAAGGGGACATTTCTATGAAGACCAATGTCTTTTATTTCAACACCACAAGTAAAGAAAAAAAATATTCTTCCATTGGAAACTGTTAATGCTGAAAAATATCTTGGTGAATTAAAAAAAAAAGATTTTAAGGCCATATTGCACTTCACAAAGATAATGCGCCCTATAATCCGGCGCAATGTACGGTCTGAAAAATCCGGTAGTTATTTGAAAGATGCTAGTGTGCTTTCAGTCTACTGTTGACGTGCCCTTGAGCATGGTATTGTCCCCACTCCCACAGCTCAAGTGCAGCGCAGTTTGACGATGAGCACTCTTCTTGCATTGTGTGTGTTTTGGTTTTATGTGTGGTATGCAGCACCAAAGATACATTAAGCAAAGTCTAACTTCAATTTCCCATTGAGATAGCATGCAAGCGGTATAATAAAATAAAATAATTTCCAAAGGCGAACATGTAGAAATACAAACAAAGCCTAGGCCGACTCGCATCCTGAAACGGATTATGTTTGGCCTGAGAGATTGCATTGTTGACTTGAGAGTTGAAACCACTGAAAGCATTTGCTTGTTTTATCGCAGATCGGCGGAATTCCTGCATGCTCGCTTACATCGTGGTTATTTAGATTGGCTGTTGTTCTAACATTGCCCCTCTGGACAGTTCGTGTGCACGGATCCTTCTGCAGTTGTTCATTTAACTCTTGTCAATTCCTGCTCATTGCCGCCTCCACCACTGCCTGTGGCTTTCTGATATTACAAGAGTAACTGTAGTCACATTACTAGACTGTAAAAAGTACAGTAACTTGAAATTGTGCAGATTTTGGGCTGGGCGTCACCGGTCACAAATTCTCGTATCTCTTAGCGAGGCTGAAATTCCAACGATTTGGACAGTTAAAGAATAGTTGCCTGTGAACTTGATAATCGTTTACTTGTCAATGAATCGATTAACCGTCACACCTCTGGTGCTCTCTAACACAAAACACTCCGTTCCACTGACCTCTCACCAAAAAGCAGACAATTTGTTTTAAAATAAATTGATGTCTAAAAAGCAACAGTGGTTTAATTCCTCAATATAATTCGATTTTGTGTCCCTTTCCATTTTCTGTATATATAAATGTAATATGTGCACAGATGAAAAGGCCAACTGCTCAGTGACAACAATAGTTTTTGTGATACGGTTATTGTCAGTGTTGAGTGATGCAAATGTACAGTATTTCCACTGTGAGTTGCGTGGGTATGCGGTAGAATTGCTTCGTGGGTGAGTGTCATCATGCACGTATGCTACTTTGGTACCTCTTTACTCTTCATAATATACAAATGAAATCCACTTTTGATTGCGCATATTTGTCATGCCCCACAATTAGTCACTTCTGTTTTTGACGCCATAGTGCAAAGTGTTCCTCGGAAAGCTGCAAAATTAAACTGCCAAAAAGGTGTTGTATCCAAGCAAATCAGTCTGTCTCGAGAAACAAATAGTGTCCCAGCAAATTGTTGATTAATAAAATAAAGAATTTGGTAATACGTTTCTGTGAGCTAGAGAAAAGAATATGCCGGCTTTGAAAAAATAAAGGCAGTCATTTCTATTGTGTGAATGAATTACCATACTTCATGCTTGTCAAAGCTGCGCTTTGCAGTCCTGACAAACTTCTGTTGTCCTTTCTTAGGTTAAAATGACCCCAAATCTTGGGCTTTTTTTTTTTGTGTTGATGCAGTCCTACATTACCCACTGAGCTTTGTTTAAGTCTTTTAAGATAGGATGAAGTTTCCTTTAGATTTTTGTACAAACTCAGAGGCATATTTTTCTCAAAAGTGGATCGAGTACAACACCATTTAGTACACTCTAGGCTGTTGTCTTATTTTGGTTCTCCTCTAGCTAATCGCAATGTGATAACCATCCATCCATCCAGTCTCTGAACTGCTTCGCCTCACAGGGGTCGTGGGATCCCACCAGGCTGCCCACAAAAGTATATGAATAAATATAAATAGAAAATATAAATATAAGCATATTAAAAATGGGTGAGTGGGGGTTGAGTCCAGGTTTTCAGGACCGTCTATTCAATAGCCTGACAGCAGTCGGTAGGAACGAGCGGCGGTACCTCTCAGCGCGGGTGTATCAGTCTCTGGCTGAAGGAGCTTACAGGGGTTTTAAATTACAATGTTGCTGTTCATGTAGCCCATTGATATATAAATAATAAGCACGCTGCTCTCTCTTTAAATAAGTGATGGCTTGGTAGTGATACCTTTCTTCTAACATGGTGCAACTTCATGCTGTGTTGCCCTGTCACTTAACCTTAAAGCATCTTAAGTGTGAGTCATAACTGATCCAGTAAAGCCTGTCAGTGTCTGTGCAGGTGCTAACATACAGTAAATATGATTTATGTCCAAAAACGGAGGGATGAAAATGGGAATGCGATTTTATTCTTCCAAAATGAATCCATCCATCCATTTTCGAATCCGCTTATCCTCACAAGGGTCGCGGGTGTGTTGGAGCCTATCCCAGCTGTCTTCGGACAGAAGGCGAGGTACACCCTAAACTGGTTGCCAGCCAATTGCAGGGCACACAGACACAAACAACCATTCGCGCTCACAGTCTCACCTAGGGACAATTTGGAGTGCCCAATCAACCTGCCATGCATGTTTTTGGAATGTGGGAGGAAACCGGAGTACCCAGAGAAAACCCACACAGGCCTGGGGAGAACATGCAAACTCCACACAGGAAGGCCGGAGCTGGATTTTTATTGTGTTTCCTGGAGTGGGGGTTCATGAACAAAACGGTCGAGGCACGTTTAAAATGGGCCACCGATCAAATGGGCCTCGGTTATAAATCAAATGTAATCAAACCGTGCCCTCACTGTCCTGATTATTAGCCGCTCACTCAGTCAGAAATCTGAATCTGCTGTTGGAAAGACTCATGAATTAAAACTAAGGGGGCTTTAAAATATTCACAGGTTCAGCAGAAGCAACTCCTCACTTCTGGTTGGATCCTTGGCTGGTGTGGAGAAAAGCTGACAGGATGTTGTTAAGATGTTTATGACATGATTATTATTATTATTTTTTTTGTAAATGTTCAAGGTTGTTGGTTAAATATCAGCCTGAGTATTTTCGCAACAAGTTATCAGTGCTGGCATCACAGGTCAACAAAGATCACTTCTTTTACTTCAGTCAGTGTGAGAAAGTAGATTCCGATCAGCGATGAGATACTTTATTAGTCTTGTGTTTGCTTAGAGTCATTTTTATTTATAAAGGTTTTAGAATTCTCTCCAACTAGCAAATTGTAGCTTCTGAATTAGTGACCCAAAAATGTAACTTAAAAGTGATGGTTTCCACATCACTTTAAAGTGAGGCATCTTCGTCTAGTGTTGATTTTTTGTTGTTATTTTGAGGTGAAATCAATTAGTGTGACTGGGCTCAATTTCCCTGACATTTTCAGAATGAGCCCAAGGCAGCGGAAAAACTGCATTTTGCAGAAACACCAGCTCAGCCAAATTGAATTGAATCCTTTTTAAAGGTGGGGAAATGACGTGCCCTTTGTGGTCTCTTTAATTACTCAGACCAAGTTTGGAAACACACATGTAACTGGAACAAAGTTGGGGAGCTCGAAAGCCTTTTTGTACAAACTCACTTCTCCGCCTTTTTTTTAGATTCTAAATATGGGTTGGTGAAATAGAAAGGCTCCAGGTGGTGGAATCGATGTTTGGCTGCCTCTGTGTTTAGTAGAATTGACAGGCAGCCGAGTGGCCAAGCTGCAATGGGATATGTGCTTTAGTGGGCTTGATAGGCACCGCTTGTTTTTCAGACGAGTCGAAATGCCGCATGGTCAAGTTGAGGAGTCAAATGCAAATGTTTCCGTCGGGCGTAAGTCACTTTCATCAATTAAAGCACAATGAAACTGCAATATTTTGAAGGTCCAATTCATGAATTGAACCACATTTTGGGAAATCATGAACATTAATTGGATAAAATAAAGTGGCACAAAATGATGCAATCAAGCCTTTATTATTATTGTACCTGATCTTTTATTGTGTTAACCTTCTGGCGTTTAATTTAACATTTTACATACCTTTACATTACATCTACAATTAATTACTCAGAAATTAAGAATTCAATTCTAGTATTTAATATTAAAAAAAAAGTTCTGATATCTGAACAAGTCTCGTAGCATTGACTAAGATAAACAACTGAGCAATTCAGGTGACATGGTGTGCACTACTTGGCTGCAAACAGCAGAGGCGCTGTTGAGGCGACATCCTCTTGTCCAACTCATGACAACTTGCGTGTGCTCAACATTGGCATCGAAACAGGAGGTCAGAGCATTTCGAGAGAGATACCCATCATTAAAAAAGGACAACATCACACTGTAAAACAACAATTAATCATCTGAATGAGGAATTCTCCCTGTAGTCAATCAAAGAAAAAGGTTTCACTGTGCAACTCTTGGTGGCAGATGATGAACACATTGCCATCATTTCCACTCGTAGAAAGGTGATGCGCATCATTTTTGTCTGAGTCAAATGGCTTTTGAGCGGACTGGAAATGAAGGAGGTTTGGAATGTAGAATATAGAATTTAAAACCTAAATCTTGTGAAGACACTCACTCTGGCACCCAGATGGGTATGAAAGGCGAATGAAGCAAGGGAATCAAATATTTGTGTACAGCTGATGCAACAACTCAAGTGTTAGCAGGTGGGAATGACTCAGCAGTTTTGCCTTCATCGTTGAGAACACAACTGTCAGACTCGGAGGAAATGTTTACTGTGAAATTGGTTTGACATAGCATAATTACCTCTCAGTTAAATTTAAATTACACATCAATGTAGAAAATGTAATAATGATAGTCGGCTCTTCACAATGTGGACAGGCTAGGATGTATTTGTGTCATAATATTGCTTATTAGTGACATTGTAGTTTAGGAATATGTCACTGTATAATTTATGGGGGTACGTTTTTTTAATTAAATTTTTTTTGAAGAAAGTCTCAAAAGACTTTGCAAAAGCTCATCTTTTCTCCCTAGAATATTTTTTCATACTGCTCAACGCTTCATATGAACTACAGTGCAGATTCCAGGTGCCTCAGTGGCATCATCGACTTGGGAAAGAAAAATTTAAAAAACGTTTCGGACAAATTTGTATTTTTAGTTCGACCAGGAACCATGCTAAAACCATAATCTTATGGATGATGACAGAAAATAAGGCATTCGGGTTCGAAGTAACCTAACGTATGCATCAATTGGCTAAAAAAAAGCCTTTCAAAATCAACGTTCATACTTGCCAATTTGAAATCCACTTGCACCATCTGTATTCATAGTCAATGACTGCAGTAAAGTTGAAGCATGCGCACCTTGTTGCTTTGTATGTCAAGCGCCTCTTGTACATGGCTCTGCAGGCACACAACTGGATAATGTGCCTCTACTTTGAAAATGAGATTTGCAAATTGGATCCTTTGTAAAGTCTTTCCACATTTTTCCCTCACTCAAATTCAAGAAGGCTTATAAAAGCAGTCTTTTGAACTGAAACAGACATCGAAAACTGAGCCACCAGACGTGCTAATTAAATCGATTTGTGGAACGGGCCTTTAGATATTCAGTTGCAGTCACGATCCACCTCAATCACATCTTCTTGTGGGTGGGAAGATGAACAAAAGTCTCTCTTTCTCCAACTGCTGGTGAATGTTAAGCAGAAACCGCCGACTACTCCTCCCTGAGAAATTACAACCACTCAAAATAAACCAAGCTTTTGGGGGGGAAAAATATATAATTAAAACCTAACTTCCTATCAGTGATCGGAGTCCTCACTCACCAAACACAAAGCCCACTGGAGCAGGAATATGGAATAATTGATGTTTCCTTTTTCGGTGCAGGAGAAAACAACACGCTCAAATTGCTTCGGAGTCTTTGTTTCTAATGCACGGCGTCCTCAAAATAGCACAGAACAATCACTTTTATTGGAAGGATAGTAAAGTCTATTTGACTTTTTATGCTTTTGTCATCAAATCATCATTGAGTTGGAAAAAAGGCGAATGTGTAAAAGTAGTGTCAAGATAGATCGGTGCATAGTACGCAAATCTGTGGTTTACCTTGCAGTTTTAAAATGCGCTTTACATTTACTGAATTATTTTTGTGGTCACGCCAAAGCAATAAAAGTATTGCTTTGCCGCCATTATAAACTCGACGAAGAGGAGCATCAATTTCGTGCAGATTTTAGCTATTATAGGGCTTGGTCCCCTTACTCACTGTACTATTATCCATTATGGGAGGCTGTCCAAACATTCTAAATTAACAATAACCCCAAACCCTACTGCTATTTTTTTTTCTATGAGAAAGAACATTTTCCTCGAAAAATGTTCAAATAATGTGTTTTATTTGAACATTAACATAGGCACTGGGTGTTATTGTGTGAAATTTAGCCTTTGGTGAGTGAGCAATAGCACTTGGTTTCATTACCCCAAAAATAAAATCCGAACTGAATTCCTTTCCTGCTTATCATGATTTAAACCCTACACAGGTACTAAAAAGGTCAAGGAAACCGTAAAAATAAAATGACGAACTGGAACATGAGCGAGCAAGCTATTTGTCTCTTGACATGCCTTCACATCATTTTCATTTTCTTGAGTCTCAAATGAAGCTTTGACTCTAATTTCTTTTCCTTTTTTTTTTTTGTTTTTGTTTTTTTGTTGCTACAGATGGTTACCGGATAGCTAATAATTAGCTTACTGTGCGCTTGCTCATAGAAAACAAATCTAGCTCACCTTCTTATTGATCAAATAAAATTATTGGCCATCTTGACTTTGCATATTATAACGCTTAGTTGATCTGTGACTGGCAGGAGACCAGTCAGGGTGTAAACCGCCTCTCACCCGAAGGCAGCTTTGGATAAGCTACAGCTCACTTGCTCCCCTAATGAAGGTAATCAGTAAAGAAAATGGATGGGTGGCTGTGTAGTACCTCATTGAGGTCTAAAAGGATGAAAAGGGTGACAATTAGGTCGTTTTTAAGAAGAATTGCAGTCCTTTTTCCTCATAACGTGCTGCATTTTGCAAAATTAACAAATACTTCATGCAGTTGGTTGAATTTTTTAGTAATATATTGAGCACCGACTTTCTGATTGCGGGATGAGCTCCCCTTAATCCTAGAATAGCGCCTCTTTCATTAGCCTCTCGAAGCCGTGTTTCATTATAATCCACCCTGAATCTCTTTCTCCTCACAATCTATTTCCTGGCCCTCCATGTTTTCCCGGAGCCATCTAACCAGCAGGGTTGAGTTATTAATGCCTGGGGGGGCCAGAGAGATGATTTCATTGCGTATTCAGGTATGGCGATAGATGGCTTTCAGAGCCAGCCAGGGGAGTGCTGGGAGGGGAGCCTCAGTAGAGAATAAATATACCTGTCACCTGGTGATGTATCTGGCTCCACTCGCTGCAATGCAGATCAACCACTTTCCTCCCCCGGACCGCCTGCACCATTACTCACCCTTTCCCCACCTGGATCCAGCCTCTTCCGCCTTGAGATTAAGGTGGCCCATGAGGAGTGCATATTTTGGCTCTTTTCCCAACGTGGTTTGGTTTCACATGTCGACAGACACAATAAAAATGCTGCATTGCCCTGGAGGACCTACTAGTTTTGGTGTTCATTACCTGTCCTGACTGGCTGATAATTAAGAGCAGAGCATGGATTTGAAGGTTATAAATAGCTAGACAAAGACATCCCCTCGTACAACTTGATTATACGACCGTTTTATGTGTTGAAGGGGTTGTACAGACCCTTTGACTAGAGGACTTCATATTCCAACTTCTGTGACTTGGAGTGCTGCTATGTCCGAGTTCATAATCGCAACACTCCATCCGTGGTCTTGAGTGACTGTGAAGGATCTCTTGTTCGATGTCAATCGCCGGCAGACAATTGTGAGTTCGCGGACCAACGTCTCCGTTATCCATAGTAGATGCTACAATATGTAAACTACCATCCAGGACATTGCCTTACATCAAACACACGGTGGCCTCTGTATGCTAATGCTAGCTTCC